GGGATTCCAAACCCCGCTGGGTTAATGGTTATCCAAACCCGTGGGGGTTTTTTGGTTAAACCCAAAACCTGCTGAGGTTAAAGGTTATCCAGAGCCCTGCTGAGGTTAATGGTTATCCAGAGCCCTTTCTGGGTTAAAGGGTTCCAGAGCCCCCGCTGGGATTAAAAGGGGGCCCGAGGGCCCCCGTGAGGTTAATGGTTACCAGAGCCCTGCTGAGGGGGTTTAAAGGGTTTTTCCAGAACCGCGAGGGTTTTAAGGGTTTTTCCAGAGCCCTTTCTGAGGTTTGGTTTCCGGGAAACCCGGGTGAGGTTTAAAAGGGGGTTTTCCGAGGGCCCCGTTTGGGTTTAAAGGGTTTTCCCGGGGGCCCCCCGGGGGTTAAAAGGTTCCCCCGGCCCCGTTTTTAGGTTAATGGGTTTCCCAGAACCTGCGGAGGGGTTATGGTTTTTCCAGAGACCTGCTGAGGGGTTTAAAGGTTATCCCGAGACCTGCGGGGGTTAAAAGGTTTCCAGAGGCCCCTGAGGTTTTAAAAGGGTTTTCCAGAGACCTGCTAGGTTAATGGGTTTTCTAAGACCTGTGAGGTTAAAGGGGTTTTTCCAAGCCCCCTGAGGTTTTAAAGGTTAAAAAGAGACCCCGCGGGGGTTTAAGGTTATCCAGAGACCTGCTGGGGTTTAAAGGTTTTTCCCCGAGACCCCTGAGGTTTTAAAGATTATCCAGAGACCTTCTGAGGTTTTTTAAAGGTTTCCAGGGGACATGTGAGGTTAAAGGGTTTTCCAAAGCCCCCGCTGAGGTTTTGGGTTTTCCCGGACCCGTGAGGTTTTTAAAAGGGTTTTCCAAAAGGGGCCTTTCGGGGGGTTTTGATTATCCAAAGCCCTGCTGAGGTTAATGGTTTTTCCAGGGACGCTGGTGTTGGTTTTAAAGGTTTTCCCAAACCTGGGGGAAAGGTTTTAAAGGTTATCCCCGAACCTGCTGAGGTTAAAAGGGGTTTTCCAGAACCTGCTGAAAGGGTTTAAGGGTTTATCCAGAGACCCGCTGAGGTTAATGGGGTTTCCAAAGCCCTTTCTGAGGTTAATGGTTACCAAGGGCCCGCTGAGGTTAAGGGTTTTCCAAGCCCCGCGAGGTTAAAGGTTAAACCCGAAAACCCGCAAACCCCCAGGGTATAAAACCCCGGACCAGGTTTCTGTTTTAAAAATTTAAAAGGGTACGGGTTTGGGGAAACCCAAAGATCCCGTTTTTTAAGGGGACCCGGATGGGGGACCAAAGACTCCTGTTTAATGGGGACGGATGGGGGGACCAATTACTCCGGGTTTTTAAAGGGTACGGGGGGTACCCAAGACTCTGTTTTAATGGGGAAGGATGGTACCCAAAACCCGGGTTTTTAAAAGGGTTCGGATGGGTTACCTGACCCCCCTGGGTTTAAAGGGGTTGCTTGGGGTTTTTACCTTTCTCCGTTTTAATTTGGTCGGTGGGCCAAGGGGGGCCCCCTTTTAATGGGGGGAACGGTGGGCCAAATGGGGGCTTCCTGTTTTTTGGGGCATTTACCAATGATTTTTTTGGTCGGATGGCCCCGCTTTGGGTTTTTTGGTTTGGATTTTAAACCCAAGGCTCCCCCCTTTTATTAGGGGGTACCAAACCCCTGGGTTTTTTTGGGGCGGAAAAGGTTTTTTCCCGCTCCTTAAAGGAAATTTTTGTTTGACCTCTTCCCTTCAGGGGTGAAAACCAAATTTTTTAAAACAGGGGGGGTTTTGGGGCTTATTAAAGAATGTAGGGTAAAAAGGAGAAACCGGGGTTAATTTTCGGTTTGCGGGGGGGAAGAATTTTTTTTTTTTTTTAAAAGGGCAAAGGGGGGGGTGGGTCCTGGCCCCGTTTGAAACGGAGGGAACCCAAGAATTTTTGGGCCCCCCCTCCTCCCCCCCCCTCTCTGTTTTTTGGGTGGTGGGTTGTGTGTTTAAAAAGGGTAAAAAAAAAGTTATGGTTTTAGTGGGTGGAAAAGTTAAAAAATTTTTTGGGGTTTTGGTTTGTGTTTGTTGAAAAATTGGTTGGTGGAAGTTTTGGTTTTTTTTTGAAAATTTTGGGTTTTAGTGTTTAGTGTTTGGGGTTTTGGGTTTTGTGTTTTTTTTGGTGGGGTGTGGGTGGGGAGTGTGGGGTTTTTTTTGTTTGGTGGGGTGTCGAGGTCAGTGGAAATGCCCCCAGGGAAAAAGGGGGGTTGCGGGTTTGGTGTGGTGTGGTTTTGTGGGTGTTTTGTGTGTTTTAAGTTGGGGTTTTTGGGGAGGGATATGTGGGGTGGGAGTGGGTAGTTGGGGGAATGGTGTAGAATTTTTGATCTTTTTGCAAAACTAAAATTGGGGGGGTTTTTTCCCCGGGGGGCCACCTTTCATTTAAATAAAAATTTTACCCCCTCAAATTTGTAATCTTTGTGGGTTGGTGGTGTGATGTTTTGTGGTGGTTGGGGGTGGGTTATTGGGGGTGTGCTGGGCCCGGGTAAAAAATGTAGCCCGAACAAACCCCAAAAAAAATGGGGGGAGGGTGGGTTTGGGTTTTTGGTGGGTGCCCTTTTGTGTGCCCTTCTGTTGGGGGGGTTGCCGGGGGTTTTGTAGTGGTTTTGGTGTGGTGGTTTTCTGTGTGGGGGGGGGTGTTTTTGGTGGGGGGGTTGAAAAGTTTTTTTTTGGTGGACCCGGGTGGGGGCAAAAGAGGGAAAACACCCAAGCCCGGAAAAGCCCAATTTTTATTGTGGTTTTTTTTTCTCCTTTTTTCCATCCCCCCCCGCCCCTTTTCCCATTCCCGACAAATTCCGCTTTCTGTGTGGCCCCCTAACAAAATTTTTCGCTTTCCCCGGCCCATCCCCCTTTTTCCAAAACCCCATGCCCCCTCAAAACCCTCGGGTTTTCAAAAAATTTCCCCAAAAAAAAAAAACCACGCCCAAAACCCAAAAGGGAATTTTCGTTTAAATAACAAATATTCATTTCAACCCCCCCCGTAGGTTTTTTAAAGTTGGTTTTTTGGGTGCCCTTTAATTTAATTTTCCGGAACATGTAAAAGGGATAAAGTTTCACTGTTTGGGGGGCTTTCCTCCCCCCTTCTTTTTGATATTCCCCTCCCCCCCCCTTACCATTTCCTCCCCCCAACAACACATGGTTTTTTTAAAAAAACTCTTTAAATTTATTTTCCCTTTCCCTTTAAAAAAAACCCCCCTCAATTTCATCCCAATTTTTTTACCAACCCCCATTCACAAACACCCCAACCCCCCTTTTTTGCCTTTTCAACCCCCCTTTGGGTTTTCTTTTTCCTTATTTAAACCAATTAAAAAATTAATAAACTCATTTGCCAATAAGGGGGGGAAACCAAACACCTAAAAGGCAAAAACAGGCAGGACCGGGGAGAAAAGAGGAAAAGGGGGTTCCTCCCTTTTTTTCCTCTCTCTCCCTCTTCTCTCTTTTTCTCTCCCTCTCTCTCTCTCTTTCCCTTTTCTCTTTTTCTCTCTCTCCCTTTTCCCCTCTCTTCCCCCTCTCTCCCCTCTCCTTCCCCCCCTCTCTCTCTCTTTTCTTTTTTTTCTTTTCCCTTTTCTCTTGCTCTCTCCCTCTCTCTCTCTCCTCTTCTCTCTCTTTCTCCTTCCTCTCTTCGCCCCTTTTTTCTCTTGTTATTCAAATTTTTTTTTTCCTGTTTTAGCCACCCCTTTTACCCGAGCCGCCTTTTTTAGGGGGGAAGTGAAATGACCAGAGAGGGAGGGAAAAAAGAAACCCCTTTTTTCCCTTTAAAAGGGCTTTTTATTAGGGTGTCTTGGGGGGGCTATTGAGGGTTTTTTAAAAAATGGTAGACCACAAAGTTTATTGCTATCCATGCACACAAAAAACAAAACCCATTTTGAGTCTCTTCCATCTTTTTTCTCAGTGCACGGGGGTGGTGTCATGAACCCTTAAAGGCCCCTCAGGATTTTTTGATTTTGTGATATTTTTGGTGTCCCCTAGTGGTGATAAATGTAGGGGGGGCCCCCAGGCATAACGAAGTAACATTTTTATCCATCTTTTCTCCTCCAAATTCTCTCTCTTCTCCCCACCTCTCTCCCTCTCCCAACCTTTTGGGGTTTCCTCCAAAATTCTTGTCCCCCCACTCTCTCCTTCCCTCCTCCTTCCCTTCCCCAATGGCTCTCGGTTTTCCCCAAAAAAAATTTTTTAAAACTTCCGGGGGGTCCCCAAAACCCCTTTTTCTTTCCCCCCTCCTTCTCCCTCCTCTCACAAACCGGGGCTCCCCCAACAAACCCTCTCCTTTCCCCTCCCCCCCTAAAAAATTTTTTTTTTCCCTTTTCTCCCTTTTCCCCTCTCCCCTCTCCTCCATTCTCTTTTCCCCCCTCCCTCTCTTTTCCCCCCTCTTTTTGGCTTCCCCCCTCTTCTGCCCCTTTCCCCCCTTCTCCCCCTTTTTCCCTTCCCCCTCTCTCCTCCTCTCCTCCAAAATCTTTTTCTCTCCTCCCTCTCTCTGGGCTCTCCTCCACCTCTCTGGGTTTTTTCTCCCTTCTTTGTCTCTCCTCCTCCCCTTTCTGTTTCCTCCCTCTTTCTCTGTTTCCTCCCCCTTTTTTTTTTTCCCCATTTTCTCTCTGTCTCTCCCCCTTTTCTCTTGTCTCCCTCCATCTTTTCCTTTCCCCTCCTCCCCTTTTCTCTTTTCTCCGCCCTTCCCCCTCTGTTTCCCCCCCCCTTTTCTCTCTGTTCTCTCCCCTCTCTCTCTCTCTCCTCCTCTTTTCTTCCCCCCCCCCATCCCCCCTATTCCCCCCCTCTCCCCCCTCTCTCCCCCCTCCTCCCCCCTTCTCCCCCCCTCCCCTCTCCTCCCTTCCCCCCCTTCCTCCCTCCCTCTCTTCTTCCCCCTCCCCTCCTCTTTTCTTTCCCTTTTCTCTTGTTTCCTCCTTTCTCTCTTCTCCCCATCTTTTCTCCCCTCCTCCCTCTCTCCCTCTCCTCCCTCTCTCTCTCTCTCTCCTCCATCGCTCTCTCCCTCTCCTTCATCCCTGCTGTTGGAGCTCAGTGTAGTGACTTCACGACCATCTGTGCTACAGCCAGCCAAAGCTCAGCCATCTCTCTCTCACACACACACACACACACACACACACACACACACACACACACACACACACACACACACGCACGCACGCATGCACGAAGGCATACACACACACGGTCAACACTCTGGACACATAACAGTGCCTTTATAGGCTGCTAATCGGCCCTTACACCGGCCCATTGTTTTCCTTCTAGGCCCCCATTATAGCCAAATAATAATCATTCTACAGTATATATATATATATATATATATATATATATATATATATATATATATATATATATATATATATATATATATTTGACCAGCCCCTCTAGCATTTGCCAGAACTGCCCTATGGCCAGTCCGTGCCTGACCCTCCTCAGTCAGCACACCATCATATCTCCTCAGGTAACAAGGCTAGCAGACAGCGTCTCAGTCCCAAATGACACACTATCCCCTATACAGTGCAATACTTTTCACCACAGTCCTGTGGGCCTATGGGTCAAAAGTAGTGCACTAAATAGGGGATATGGTGCAATTTGGGACTGACCCAGTGTGATATATATATATTGGCTCAGACGAGACGGCCCCTGTGGCAGACCTGGCGGTTTGCCAGTAGCCAGCGCCTTCAGCACACACACACACATACACACACACACACACACACACAATGACAAACGACCCAGCCAGACGCTGTTGTGGCGACAGCCGTGTGGGCATCATCCATTAACATTCATCATCCATTAACATTCAGCAGCCAGAGTCATAATCCTGCAGGTATCAGAATCAGCCAGGAACAGAAGCATCCAGAGCAGCAGCAGGGGAAGCAGAGAAGCACAGAGAGAGCAGAAGCAGCAGGCGAGGGGAGCAGGGCAGCAGCCATGAGACGAGCAGGAGCAGGCAGCAGGGTATCAGGAGCAGAGGCAGCAAGCCAGGAGCAGGCAGCAAGGGGGAGCAGGCAGCAGCCAGGAGCAGGCAGCACCAGGAGCAGGCAGCAGCGCGAGGAGCAGGCAGCAGCCATGGGTACAGGCAGCAGGGGAGCAGGAGCACCAGGACCATAGCAGCAGCATAGCCAGGGGCAGCGCAGGAGCATGCAGCACCAGGAGAAGGCAGCAGCCAGGAGCAGCAGCAGGGGGACAGCAGCAGCAGGAGCAGGCAGCAGCCAGGAGAGCAGCAGCCAGGAGCAGCAGCTCCAGGAGCAGGCAGCCAGAGAGCAGGCAGCAGCCAGGAGCAGGCAGCAGGGGAGCAGCAGCAGCCAGGAGCAGGCAGCACCAGGAGCATGCAGCAGCCAGGAGCAGGCAGCACCAGTAGCAGCGCAGCCAGATTAGGCAGCATACAGTAGCATTCATCATCAAGTGCAGCAGCAGAGCAGCAGAGAGCAGCAGTGGCAGATAGAGCAGGCGAGCAGACAGGCAGCAGTCAGGGCAGGCAGACAGCAGAGCCAGGAGCATCCAGACAAAGCAAGTCAGGACAGAGCAGAGACAGGACAGGAGAGTACATGCATCAGCAGAGCATCATCAGCACAGGAGCAGTCAAAATGTCAGTATGTAAGATCATGCATGCATCATGTGCACACATATATAGCAAGCCATGATCATTCACATTATCATATCATGGATCAGCATCCATGAGTATCAGCCATTGTTATCATTCATACTATCATCATCATCCATTACATTACATCCATATCACTGTTATCATTCATCATCCATTATCATTCATCATCCATTATCATTCATCATCCATTATCATTCATCATCCATTATCATTCATCATTGTTATCATTCATCATCCATTATCATTCATCATTGTTATCATCCCCTTGTTCTTCCCACCCAATTCCATTATTGATTACAGGAGTATGGGTTGATAAGGGCATAGCTATTGTCTCTGTTACTGATAATAGCTATGGGGGCAGGACCAACCTCTGTGTTCCTTATCTTTCACAGAAGAGTTCACAATCACACTTCTATTCCGCCTTGAAGACAGTAAAGCTATGATTCTAAAGCCAGAGCTGTACGGTATTTTAAGCATCCTTCTCACAAACACTCTCTAAGACAGTTCAAATGATTAGTGATTCAATACATTTAAATAAAGTGTCAGTTATTCCTCCAAGGTGCCAGACATTGGGGGAAAAGTCATCTTCTTTGCATTAAACTCAGCCACAACAACCAAAGCCAACGTGCTGTTAGTTAAACCATAAACAACTCTACTTCCACCCTGCATAGTGCAGTGGCATGGCCATAAAACACTGTGGTCTGGAGGGTTTGACATACAGTTTTTGGGGTTAATACAGACTCTCCCACAATTACTTACGCACACACACACCCTTTACATCTGAACTAGCACGGCTCAGGCCATTAGAAGGAATGATTCCAGTCGTATATTTTAGGACCAGTCCTCTCCTCTCGTTCTATTGAAGTCCCCCCCCATAATAAAGCCTCCTGGGTTTCGGCCTGACAGTAGAGAAAATGGATGATCATTATAAGAGGGTAAGGTAATATTTCACTTCCTAGAGCCTACACACCACAGAACAGAGCTGCGAGGTTGGAATAAAAGCTATTTTTCCATACGTTGAGGGTTCACCTATGGAAATATTTTTGACAAGACATTCATCTTATTGTGTAGAATTGTTAATCTGTGTGCTTTTCTCAGAGAGAGTGAATTATAGTTCTGTAGTAGCCAACTCACTGCTGACCTAAAACAAAGAACCTTTCATTTTGAATATGTTGTATCTTTGCTTTGGTTTTACAACAATTATTCACTCATGGTTTCTATTTAGAGGGATGTCGCTACATCCCCACTAGATGGTTCTGTAAGTGTCAGTTTATAGGCATTTCATAGCCTAATTGTGTAGCCTATTTGAATGACTTTATGTAGGTTTTGTATGTCCTTATGTAGCTGTACTTCAATTACATTTTACCCATGCTTTCCTTTTATCTATGTTTAATTAAAAATTGTGGTCACGGAGCTGATTTCTATATTTATTTATTTTCCCCACCTTTTTTCCCCAATTTCATGATTACGATCTTGTCTCATCGTTGCAACTCCCCAACGGGCTCGGGAGATGCGAAGGTCGAGTTATGCGTCCTCCAAAACATGACACCCCGAACCACGCTTCTTAACACCCGCTCGCTTAACCCGGAAGACAGCTGCACCAATGTGTCGGAGGAACACCGTTCAACTGACGACCGAAGTCAGCTTGCAGGCGCCCGGCCCGCCACAAGGAATGTCTAGAGCGTGATGAGCCAAGTAAAGCTATTCCAGGAAGTGACGTTGCAGGCTATCTCAGTGCTGCCCCCTCTCACTGAGGATCTCAAGTTGAAGGCCGACGGGGGTACTGAAGGCTGCCATTAGCAACTAACTTCTTCTGTGTGCGATTGAAAAATAACCAGTTCAAAGACATACATCCGGTGTATTAGAAGCAATTATTGGTACCATGATTCTCTTCAAAATATTTGTTTATTTGCACAAAGATAAATAAGAAGATTGCAATTTTTCCATTTACTGTTATTGGAGATCATGTTTTCTGCTAACAATGCCTGCGGTACCACAGTCGGCTATTAACTTCCTTGTCTTCATGTTTCCTGGTCGGAGATTGTGACAGGCAAATGGATGTGAGTTTGAGAGCGCCATGTTTAAATTGTGTTGTGGTTCACGCCAACCTGTTGATAGGATTGTTGGGAAAAATGTGAATTGGTATGTTCCATGGTGAAATGCATTATGGGTCAAAGGTATTTTAACCTGTTCTTGTGTTTTGATTAGTTTCTCCCTATCCGAGTGCAGCTGGGATTTGGGAACTACCCTGTTTATTCACATACCTTTGCAATGTAGGCTACCCACTGTAAAATGTGTGGACATGTATCAAGCGTATGCAGATGGAGAAGCCGAGATATGGGATATGTGGGAAAGGCCATTATGAAGGAGATGGTTTGGCAGAAGAGAATGGACAAGGAACAAAATGTAACTGTGGTGGAGATCATGAAGCGAAATCCGTTGAATGCCCCCAGGAGGGTGAAAGAGACCGAGGTTACCAAAATCAGGGCAGTTGAGAGAGTCTCCTATTACTTTTATAGAAATGGTGGTAAACGGCACTGCTCAAGCTGAATGATTTCTAGGATTAAAAGATTTGGAGTTCTGTCTGGTGTGGTCCCACCCTTGCAGGCCCCAGAGCCTGTGTAGGGAGTTATAGTGTTTGAATGACTGAAGGAGTGGGATGTTTTTTAATACGTTTTTAAATTGTTTTTATTGTAATAGGTGTGGATTCATGTTTTTTATTTATCCGTAATGGAATTTTTTTCACCACTGTCTAGTTGGTGGTGACAATACAACAATACACCATAAAATCTCACAGAAGAAGAAGAAGAAGAAGGTATTTTAACCCCTCATTTCCTGTTTGGGTCAGACAGGAAGGTTGGGAAAAACTTGTTCCTGTTCATGCAAATTGCCAACAGGCATTATTGAGGCCTGGGTTAGGTGCTCTGACGAGATCATTTATGTCCAGTTTGTTTATAAGTACTTTTGGAACCCATTTATTCTTCACTTTTGCAAATATAAAGCCCTAACCAGCCCTAACCAGCCCTAACCAGCCCTAACCAGCCCTAACCATCCCTAACCAGCCCTAACCAGCCCTAACCAGCCCTAACCAGCCCTAACCATCCCTAACCATCCCTAACCATCCCTAACCAGCCCTAACCAGCCCTAACCAGCCCTAACCAGCTCTAACCAGCTCTAACCAGAAAAACGTACCATCCTTGTCTGACTTCTAACTGCAACATCCAGCACAACGGCCAATCTCAAAGTCGTACATAGTTTTAGTTTTATTGACATACTTTATGTGTGCTATTCACAAGAGTGGACACCCCAGCACACCACGCCTGAGTCCCAAATGGCACCCTGTTCCCTGTATGGCGCCCTACTTTTGACCAGGGCTCAAACAGACAGAGAGACAGACAGACACACACACAGTGTTTTATTAGATGCACCTGGATACTGCTCTCTTGGCTTTTCCTTGCAGGTCAAAGAGGGAGTCCTGATCTGGCAGAGCCCGACGTGCTCAACATTAATATAACAATAAACACTAGTCTACTCTATTTCCCCCAACCCCATCCAACCCCAGATAACGGGTCAACCTCAGAAAACGTCCCTTCCATCCCCTGATCCTATACCAAACTATGAGAAACACATGTTGTTGTCAACATTCTGCGCTGTAGGGAATAGATAGGAGCTATAGGAGGACGGGCTCATTATAAAGACTGGAATGGAATAAATGCAACGGTATCAAACACATCAAACATATGGAAACCACACGTTTGACTCCGTTCCATTTATTCCATTCCAGCCATTATATTGAGCCTGTCCTCCTATAGCTCCTCCCACTAGCCTCCTCTGTATAGCACATATCCTGTTTACACATGGAGGCTAAAAAGGAATTTTAATAAGTCTGTATTTACTCTTTGCCTACAATATGTGATGTCCTCCAGTGTTTGAAATCTAAGATCAGTCATGGAGGGGAGGGTTAGGGGGGCTGGGGGAGGGGGTTGGGGAGAGTTGTGGATTCCATGGACACCTAATACTCTGCGTACTCCAGAGCTGACATAAAGAAAAGGAGTACTATTCGATTAGATACCAAAATAAGACCGCTGTTTGTTTTAATCAGTCTGGTGACACAGAGAGCTTTTGAAAGCAGAGGGGGAAGAGAGTCTGGAGGGAGAGGGGGGAGAAGGGAGTCTGGGGTGAACAACCCCCCAGGCCTGGGCTAGATATGGGGAGACTGGGCCTGAGAGTCTGGGGGGGAGAGGGGGGGAGAGGGGGGGTCTGGGGGAGGTCAAGGTGAGTGGCGGTCTGGGGGGTGGCTGGCCAAGGAGAGTTCACAGCCTGTTAGCCCTTGAAGCAAGGGGACAGAGTAGCCACTCACTCACACAACTAAATATGTGTTGAGTCTACTGCTCTTATGCTGAGCTCTTCTTAGGAAAGGTGACTTCACGGTGACAAGTGAAGACTGAGGAAACAGTGAAAGATAGCAACAGTATTAATCAACAACAACTTTAGTGTTATTATTTGTTTTAAAGAGCATCAGATCATTGCAGTGAGAGAACAGTCCAATGAAAGTGAAAGGATACAGTACTTGAAATCTTATGCCTAGAATATCAACTGCCTCCTCATAGTCTGTGTATCGGTTTACTAAAGGTTTTTCTAGTCTCAGTCGCAGGATAAGGAGAGCCAACAGTGGGTAAGCTCGGCTAAGCTATGGGCAAACTATACTATACTATACTATAATATACTGTGATAAGCTATGGGTATAATATACTATACTATACTATACTACAATATACTACACTACACTACAATATACTACACCACACTACACTATAATACACAATACTATAATACACTATAATACACCATACTACACTATACTACACTATACTACACTATACTACACTATACTACACTATAACTACACTATAACTACACTATACTACACTATACTACACTATACTACACTACACTACACTACACTATACCACACTTTACTACACTGTACCACAATATACTACACTATACTACACTATACTGTACTATACTATGCTATACTATACTATACTATACTATACTATACTATAATATACTATACTATACTATACTATAATATACTATACTATACTATACTATATAGTTTCTGAATGTCCTTGTTGGCCCAACCAGAGCCCGGACTTGAACCCTATCGAACATCTCTGGAGAGACCTGAAAATAGCTGTGCAGCAACGCTCCCCAGCCAACCTGACAAAGCTTGAGAGGATCTGCAGAGAAGAATGGGAGAAACTCCCCAAATACAGGTGTGCCAAGCTTGTAGCGTCATACCAAAGAAGACTCAAGGCTGTAATCGCTGCCAAAGGTGCTTCAACAAAGTACTGAGTAAAGGGTCTGAATAATTATATAAATCTGATATGTCCGTTTGTTTATTTTTTTGGTCTTGCAAAAATTTCTAAAAAACAGTTTTTGCTTTGACATTATGGGATATTACGTGTAGATTGATGAGAGGGAAAAACAATTTAATCAATTTTAGAATAAGGCTGTAATGTAATAACATATGGAAAAAGTCAAGGGCTCTGAATTCTTTCTGAATGCACTGTATACTATACTATACTGTGATAGTATGAAAAATGTATGCACTCACTAACTGTAAGTCGCTCTTGATAAGAGCGTCTGCTGATTGACTAAAATGTAAAATGTAAATGTAATAGGCTATGGGTAAACTATACTATACCATACTATACTATACTGTGATAAGCTATGGGTAAACTATACTATAATATGCTATGATAAGCTATGGGCAAACTATACTATACTATGCTGTGATAAGCTATGGGTAAACTATACTATACTATACTATACTGTGATAAGCTATGGGTAAACTATACTATAATATACTGTGATGAGCTATGGGTAAACTATACTATACTGTGATAAGCTATGGGTAAACTATACTATACTATACTGTGATAAGCTAGGGGTAAACTATACTATACTGTGATAAGCTATGGGTAAACTGTACTATAATATACTGCGATAAGCTATGGGTAAACTATACTATACTATACTGTGATAAGATATGGGTAAACTATACTATACTATACTATACTGTGATAAGCTTTGGGTAAACTATACTATACTATACTGTGATAAGCTATGGGTAAACTATACTATACTGTGATAAGCTATGGGTAAAATATACTATAGTGTGATATGCAATGGGTAAAATATACTATACTATACTATGATATGCTATGGGTAAACTATACTATACTATACTGTGATAAGCTATGGGTAAACTATACTATACTGTGATAAGCTATGGGTAAAATATACTATACTATAATATGCTATGATAAGCTATGGGTAAACAATACTTTACTATACTGTGATAAGCTATGGGTAAACTATTTTTATTTTATTTATTTTTTCACCTTTATTTAACCAGGTAAACCAGTTGAGAACAAGTTCTCATTTACAACTGCGACCTGGCCAAGATAAAGCAAAGCAGTGCGATAAAAACAACAACACAGAGTTACATATGGGGTAAAACAAAACAAAGTCAAAAATACAACAGAAATACATATAATATACAGTGTGCAAATTTAGCAAGTTATGGAGGTAAGGCAATAAAATAGGCTATAGTGCAAAATAATTACAATTTAGTATTAACACTGGAATGATGTGCAAGAGATGATGTGCAAATAGAGATACTGGGGTAAAAATGAGCAAAATAAATAACAATATAGGGATGAGGTAGTTGGGCGGGCTAATTTCAGATGGGCTGTGTACAGGTGCAGTGATCGGTAAGGTGCTCTGACAACTGATGCTTAAAGTTAGTGAGGGAGATAAGTGTCTCCAGCTTCAGAGATTTTTGCAATTTGTTCCAGTCATTGGCAGCAGAGAACTGGAAGGAATTGCGGCCAAAGGAGGTGTTGGCTTTGGGGATGACCAGTGAGATATACCCGCTGGAGCGCAGACTACGGGTGGGTGTTGCTATGGTGACCAATGAGCTAAGATAAGGCGGGGATTTGCCTAGCAGTGATTTATAGATGGCCTGGAGCCAGTGGGTTTGGCGACGAATATGTGGTGAGGACCAGCCAACAAGAGCGTACAGGTCACAGTGGTGGGTATTATATGGGGCTTTGGAGACAAAACGGATGGCACTGTGATAGACAACATCCAATTTGCTGAGTAGAGTGTTGGAGGCTATTTTGTAAATGACATCGCCGAAGTCAAGGATCGGTAGGATAGTCAGTTTTACGAGGGCATGTTTGGCAGCATGAGTGAAGGAGGCTTTGTTGCGAAATAGGAAACCGATTCTAGATTTAACTTTGGATTGGAGATTCTTAATGTGAGTCTGGAAGGAGAGTTTACAGTCTAACCAGACACCTAGATATTTGTAGTTGTCCACATACTCTAGGTCAGACCCGTCTAGAGTAGTGATTCTAGTCGGGTGGGCGGGTGCAAGCAGCGTTCGGTTGAAGAGCATGCATTTAGTTTTACTAGTGTTTAAGAGCAGTTGGAGGCTACTGAAGGAGTGTTGTATGGAATTGAAGCTCGTTTGGAGGTTTGTTAACACAGTGTCTACTATAATGTGATAAGCTATGGGTAAACTATACTATACTATACTATACTGTGATAAGCTATGGGTAAACTATACTGTACTGTGATAAGATATGGTAAACTATACTATACTACACTGTGATAAACTATGGGTAAACTATACTATACTATACTGTGATAAGCTATGGGTAAACTATACTATACTATACTATACTGTGATAAGCTATGGGTAAACTAAACTATACTATACTGTGATAAGCTATGGGTAAACTATACTATACTGTGATAAGCTATGGGTAAACTATACTATACTATAGTGTGATATGCTCTGAGTAAAATATACTATACTATAATATGCTATGATAAGCTATAGGTAAACAATACTTTACTATACTGTGATAAGCTATGGGTAAACTATACTATACTGTGATAAGCTATGGGTAAACTATACTATACTATACTGTGATAAGCTATGGGTAAACTATACTATACTGTGATAAGATATAATATAATAATATAATAATATAATATGCCATTTAGCAGACGCTTTTATCCAAAGCGACTTACAGTCATGTGCGCATACATTTGGGTGGTCCCGGATATGATAAACTATACTATACTATACTGTGATAAGCTATTGGTAAACTATACTATACTGTGATAAGCTATGGGTAAACTATACTATACTTGTCACGATCGTCGTAGGAAGTAGACCAAGGCGCAGCGTGATGAACGAACATGTTTATTTATCATTAGCGATAAACACGGACAGTAAACAAAAACAACAAACGACTCGTAACGTCCTAGGTAAACATAGACCAACACGGAACAAGAACCCACAAACACAAAGGGAAAAACAGACAGTTTAAATATGGCTCCCAATCAGAGACAACCAGCCACAGCTGACACTCGTTGCCTCTGATTGGGAGTCACTCAGGCCAACATAGAAACAGAACAACTAGAAACCCAACATAGAAATATAACACATAGAATGAACACACCCTGGCTCAACATATAGAGTCCCAGAGCCAGGGTGTGACAGTACCCCCCCCCTAAAGGCGCGGACTGCGACCGCGCCTCCACTAGAACAAAACAGGGGAGGGCTGGGTGGGCATTCCTCCTCGGCGGCGGTTCTGGCTCCGGGCTTGCCCACCACCCTCCAATACTCCCCCCATAGCGCCCCTGGTCCGGTCTGGCCCCGCTGGCTGGAGCTGAACTGGACGTAGCAGGAGCGGTTAGCTTCAGCTCCGTTGTGGAGCAGTTGAGCGGTACCTGATTAGGCACCGATGACCCAGGCACTGGTTGTGCCGGACTGACGACGCGCACCCCTGGCTTGGTGCGTGAGGCAGGAACGGACCGGACCGGGCTGACGATGCGCACCCCTGGCTTGGTGCGTGGAGCAGCAACGGGCCAGACCGGGCTGACGATACGCACCCCTGGCTTGGTGCGTGGAGCAGGAACGGACCGGACCGGGCTGACGATACGCACCCCTGGCTTGGTGCGTAGAGCAGGAACGGGCCTTACCAGGCTGACGACTCGCACCCCTGGCTTGGTGCGTGGAGCAGCAACGGGCCGGACCGGGCTGACGATGCGCACCCCTGGCTTGGTGCGTGGAGCCGGAACGGGCTTTACCGGGCTGACGACTCGCACCCCTGGCTTGGTGCGTGGAGCAGCAACGGGCTTTACCAGGCTGACGACTCGCACCCCTGGCTTGGTGCGAGTAGCAGGAACGGGCTGGACCAGGCTGACGACTCGCACCCCTGGCTTGGTGCGAGTAGCAGGAACGTTCTGGACCAGGCTGACGACTCGCAACCCTGGCTTGGTGCGAGTGGCAGGAACAGGCCGGGCCGGGCTGGCGACGCACACCGTAGGCTTGGTGCGAGTGGCAGGAACAGGCTGGGCCGGACTGGCGACGCACACCTTAGGCTTGGTGCGAGGGGCAGGAACAGGCCGGGCCGGGCTGGCGACGCACACCGTAGGCTTGGTGCGAGTGGCAGGAACAGGCCGGGCCGGGCTGGCGACGCACACCGTAGGCTTGGTGCGAGGGGCAGGAACAGGCCGGGCCGGGCTGGCGACGCGCACCGTAGATTTGGTGCGAGTGGCAAGAACAGGCCGGACCGGGCTGGCGACGCGCACCGTAGGCTTGGTGCGAGGGGCAGGAACAGGCCGGACCGGGCTGGTGACGCACACCGTACATTTGGTGCGAGGGGCCGTAACAGGCCGGACCGTACTGGGGACACACACCACTGGCTCTACCCCGGGATCTGGAACGGGCCGGACCGGACTGGTAACACACCCCAGTACCTCTCGCCGTGCCTCTAAACCTTCTTTCCCTACTTTGACCAGTGGCCCCCATAACCTGGTGGCCTTCTGAATACGCCCCTTTTCTGCCTCTGTCAGCCCCGTCGTCCATGCCCTGTGCCCCCCCCTAAAAAAAATGTGGGGTTGCGTCTCGACCGTCCGACGACGACACTGATCACGCCGTTGCTCCTCTCTCCGTCGCCTCTCCACTGTCTCACTCCATGGCCGGCGATCCATCCCGGCCAGGATTTCCTCCCAGGTCCAGGACCCCTGCCCGTCCAAAATCTGCTCCCACGTCCAGGCTGCCTGCTCCTGGACACGCTGCTTGGTCCTGGTATGGTGGGTTCTTCTGTCACGATCGTCGTAGGAAGTAGACCAAGGAGCAGCGTGATGAACGAACATGTTTATTTATCATTAGCGATAAACACGGACAGTAAACAAAAACAACAAACGACTGGTAACGTCCTAGGTAAACATAGACCAACACGGAACAAGAACCCACAAACACAAAGGGAAAAAATACTGTGATAAGCTATGGGTAAACTATACTATACTGTGATAAGCTATGGGTAAACTATAATTTACTGTGATAAGCTATGGGTAAACTATACTATACTGTGATAAGCTATGGGTAAACTATACTATAATATACTGTGATAAGCTATGGGTAAACTATACTATAATATACTGTGATAAGCTATGGGTAAACTATACTATATTGTGATAAGCTATGGGTAAACTATACTATAATATACTGTGATAAGCTATGGGTAAACTATACTATACTATACTGTGATAAGCTATGGGTAAACTATACTGTCCTCTACTATACTATACTGTGATAAGCTATGGGTAAACTATAGTATACTGTGATAAGCTATGTGTAAAATATACTATAGTGTGATATGCTATGGGTAAAATATACTATACTATACTATGATGTGATATGCTATGGGTAAACTATAATATACTATACTGTGATAAGCTGTAGGTAAACTATACTATACTATAATGTGATAAGCTATGGGTAAAATATACTATACTATAATATGCTATGATAAGCTATGGGTAAACAATACTTTACTATACTGTGATAACCTATGTGTAAACTATACTATACTGTGATAAGCTATGGGTAAACTATACTCTACTATACTGTGATAAGATATGGTAAACTATACTATACTATACTGTGATAAACTATGGGTAAACTATACTATACTATACTTTGATAAGCTATGGTTAAACTATACTATACTATACTGTGATAAGCTATGGGTAAACTATACTATACTGTGATAAGCTATGGGTAAACTATACTCTACTATACTGTGATAAGATATGGTAAACTATACTATACTATACTGTGATAAACTATGGGTAAACTATACTATACTATACTTTGATAAGCTATGGTTAAACTATACTATACTATACTGTGATAAGCTATGGGTAAACTATACTATACTGTGATAAGCTATGGGTAAACTATACTATACTATACTGTGGTAAGCTATTGGTAAACTATACTATACTATAGTGTCATATGCTATGGGTAAAATATGCTATACTATAATATGCTATGATAAGCTATGGGTAAACAATACTTTACTATACTGTGATAAGCTATGGGTAAACTATACTATACTGTGATAAGCTATGGGTAAACTATACTATACTATACTGTGATAAGCTATGGGTAAACTATACTATACTGTGATAAGATATGGTAAACTATACTATAATATACTGTGATAAACTATGGGTAAACTATACTATACTATACTGTGATAAGCTATGGATAAACTATACTATACTAAACTGTGATAGGCTATGGGTAAGCTATACTATACTATAATATACTGTGATAAGCTATGGGTAAACTATACTATACTAAACTGTGATAAGATATGGGTAAGCTATACTATACTATACTGTGATAAGCTATGGTAAACTATACTATACTTTGATAAGCTATGGGTAAACTATACTAAACTGTGATAAGATATGGGTAAGCTATACTATACTATACTGTGATAAGCTATGGGTAAACTATACTATACTGTGATAAGCTATGGGTAAAATATAATATAGTGTGATATGCAATGGGTACAATATACTATACTATACTATGATATGCTATGGGTAAACTATACTATACTATACTGTGATAAGCTATGGGTAAACTATACTATACTGTGATAAGCTATGGGTAAAATATACTATACTATAATATGCTATGATAAGCTATGGGTAAACAATACTTTACTATACTGTGATAAGCTATGGGTAAACTATTTTTATTTTATTTATTTTTTCACCTTTATTTAACCAGGTAAACCAGTTGAGAACAAGTTCTCATTTACAACTGCGACCTGGCCAAGATAAAGCAAAGCAGTGCGATAAAAACAACAACACAGAGTTACATATGGGGTAAAACAAAACAAAGTCAAAAATACAACAGAAATACATATAATATACAGTGTGCAAATTTAGCAAGTTATGGAGGTAAGGCAATAAAATAGGCTATAGTGCAAAATAATTACAATTTAGTATTAACACTGGAATGATGTGCAAGAGATGATGTGCAAATAGAGATACTGGGGTACAAATGAGCAAAATAAATAACAATATAGGGATGAGGTAGTTGGGCGGGCTAATTTCAGATGGGCTGTGTACAGGTGCAGTGATCGGTAAGGTGCTCTGACAACTGATGCTTAAAGTTAGTGAGGGAGATAAGTGTCTCCAGCTTCAGAGATTTTTGCAATTTGTTCCAGTCATTGGCAGCAGAGAACTGGAAGGAATTGCGGCCAAAGGAGGTGTTGGCTTTGGGGATGACCAGTGAGATATACCCGCTGGAGCGCAGACTACGGGTGGGTGTTGCTATGGTGACCAATGAGCTAAGATAAGGCGGGGATTTGCCTAGCAGTGATTTATAGATGGCCTGGAGCCAGTGGGTTTGGCAACGAATATGTGGTGAGGACCAGCCAACAAGAGCGTACAGGTCACAGTGGTGGGTATTATATGGGGCTTTGGAGACAAAACGGATGGCACTGTGATAGACAACATCCAATTTGCTGAGTAGAGTGTTGGAGGCTATTTTGTAAATGACATCGCCGAAGTCAAGGATCGGTAGGATAGTCAGTTTTACGAGGGCATGTTTGGCAGCATGAGTGAAGGAGGCTTTGTTGCGAAATAGGAAACCGATTCTAGATTTAACTTTGGATTGGAGATTCTTAATGTGAGTCTGGAAGGAGAGTTTACAGTCTAACCAGACACCTAGATATTTGTAGTTGTCCACATACTCTAGGTCAGACCCGTCTAGAGTAGTGATTCTAGTCGGGTGGGCGGGTGCAAGCAGCGTTCGGTTGAAGAGCATGCATTTAGTTTTACTAGTGTTTAAGAGCAGTTGGAGGCTACTGAAGGAGTGTTGTATGGAATTGAAGCTCGTTTGGAGGTTTGTTAACACATTGTCTACTATAATGTGATAAGCTATGGGTAAACTATACTATACTATACTATACTGTGATAAGCTATGGGTAAACTATACTGTACTGTGATAAGATATGGTAAACTATACTATACTATACTGTGATAAACTATGGGTAAACTATACTATACTATACTGTGATAAGCTATGGGTAAACTATACTATACTATACTATACTGTGATAAGCTATGGGTAAACTAAACTATACTATACTGTGATAAGCTATGGGTAAACTATACTATACTGTGATAAGCTATGGGTAAACTATACTATACTATAGTGTGATATGCTCTGAGTAAAATATATTATACTATAATATGCTATGATAAAATATGGGTAAACAATACTTTACTATACTGTGATAAGCTATGGGTAAACTATACTATACTGTGATAAGCTATGGGTAAACTATACTATACTATACTGTGATAAGCTATGGGTAAACTATACTATACTGTGATAAGATATAATATAATAATATAATAATATAATATGCCATTTAGCAGACGCTTTTATCCAAAGCGACTACAGTCATGTGCGCATACATTTGGGTGGTCCCGGATATGATAAACTATACTATACTATACTGTGATAAGCTATTGGTAAACTATACTATACTGTGATAAGCTATGGGTAAACTATACTATACTTGTCACGATCGTCGTAGGAAGTAGACCAAGGCGCAGCGTGATGAACGAACATGTTTATTTATCATTAGCGATAAACACGGACAGTAAACAAAAACAACAAACGACTCGTAACGTCCTAGGTAAACATAGACCAACACGGAACAAGAACCCACAAACACAAAGGGAAAAACAGACAGTTTAAATATGGCTCCCAATCAGAGACAACCAGCCACAGCTGACACTCGTTGCCTCTGATTGGGAGTCACTCAGGCCAACATAGAAACAGAATAACTAGAACCCCCAACATAGAAATATAACACATAGAATGAACACACCCTGGCTCAACATATAGAGTCCCAGAGCCAGGGTGTGACAGTACCCCCCCCTAAAGGCGCGGACTGCGACCGCGCCTCAACTAGAGCAAAACAGGGGAGGACTGGGTGGGTATTCCTCCTCGGCGGCGGTTCTGGCTCCGGGCTTGCCCACCACCCTCCAATACTCCCCCCATAGCGCCCCTGGTCCGGTCTGGCCCCGCTGGCTGGAGCTGAACTGGACGTAGCAGGAGCGGTTAGCTTCAGCTCCGTTGTGGAGCAGTTGAGCGGTACCTGATTAGGCACCGATGACCCAGGCACTGGTTGTGCCGGACTGACGACGCGCACCCCTGGCTTGGTGCGTGAGGCAGGAACGGACCGGACCGGGCTGACGATGCGCACCCCTGGCTTGGTGCGTGGAGCAGCAACGGGCCAGACCGGGCTGACGATACGCACCCCTGGCTTGGTGCGTGGAGCAGGAACGGACCGGACCGGGCTGACGATACGCACCCCTGGCTTGGTGCGTAGAGCAGGAACGGGCCTTACCAGGCTGACGACTCGCACCCCTGGCTTGGTGCGTGGAGCAGCAACGGGCCGGACCGGGCTGACGATGCGCACCCCTGGCTTGGTGCGTGGAGCCGGAACGGGCTTTACCGGGCTGACGACTCGCACCCCTGGCTTGGTGCGTGGAGCAGCAACGGGCTTTACCAGGCTGACGACTCGCACCCCTGGCTTGGTGCGAGTAGCAGGAACGGGCTGGACCAGGCTGACAACTCGCACCCCTGGCTTGGTGCGAGTAGCAGGAACGTTCTGGACCAGGCTGACGACTCGCAACCCTGGCTTGGTGCGAGTGGCAGGAGCAGGCCGGGCCGGGCTGGCGACGCGCACTGTAGCTTTGGTGCGAGTGGCAGGAACAGGCCGGGCCGGGCTGGCGACGCACATCGTAGGTTTGGTGCGAGGAGCAGGAACAGGCCGGGCCGGGCTGGCGACGCGCACCGTAGGCTTGGTGCGAGTGGCAGGAACAGGCCGGGCCGGGCTGGCGACGCGCACCGTAGACTTGGTGCGAGTGGCAGGAACAGGCCGGGCCGGTCTGGCGATGCACATCGTAGGTTTGGTGCGAGGAGCAGGAACAGGCCGGGCCGGGCTGGCGACGCGCACCGTAGGCTTGGTGCGAGTGGCAGGAACAGGCCGGGCTGGCGACGCGCACCGTAGGCTTGGTGCGAGTGGCAGGAACAGGCTGGGCCGGGCTGGCGACGCACACCGTAGGCTTGGTGCGAGTGGCAGGAACAGGCTGGGCCGGACTGGCGACGCACACCTTAGGCTTGGTGCGAGGGGCAGGAACAGGCCGGGCCGGGCTGGCGACGCACACCGTAGGCTTGGTGCGAGTGGCAGGAACAGGCCGGGCCGGGCTGGCGACGCACACCGTAGGCTTGGTGCGAGGGGCAGGAACAGGCCGGGCCGGGCTGGCGACGCGCACCGTAGATTTGGTGCGAGTGGCAGGAACAGGCCGGACCGGGCTGGCGACGCGCACCGTAGGCTTGGTGCGAGGGGCAGGAACAGGCCGGACCGGGCTGGTGACGCACACCGTACATTTGGTGCGAGGGGCCGTAACAGGCCGGACCGTACTGGGGACACACACCACTGGCTCTACCCCGGGATCTGGAACGGGCCGGACCGGACTGGTAACACACCCCAGTACCTCTCGCCGTGCCTCTAAACCTTCTTTCCCTACTTTGACCAGTGGCCCCCATAACCTGGTGGCCTTCTGAATACGCCCCTTTTCTGCCTCTGTCAGCCCCGTCGTCCATGCCCTGTGCCCCCCCCTAAAAAAAAAATTGGGTTGCGTCTCGACCGTCCGACGACGACACTGATCACGCCGTTGCTCCTCTCTCCGTCGCCTCTCCACTGTCTCACTCCATGGCCGGCGATCCATCCCGGCCAGGATTTCCTCCCAGGTCCAGGACCCCTGCCCGTCCAAAATCTGCTCCCACGTCCAGGCTGCCTGCTCCTGGACACGCTGCTTGGTCCTGGTATGGTGGGTTCTTCTGTCACGATCGTCGTAGGAAGTAGACCAAGGCGCAGCGTGATGAACGAACATGTTTATTTATCATTAGCGATAAACACGGACAGTAAACAAAAACAACAAACGACTCGTAACGTCCTAGGTAAACATAGACCAACACGGAACAAGAACCCACAAACACAAAGGGAAAAAATACTGTGATAAGCTATGGGTAAACTATACTATACTGTGATAAGCTATGGGTAAACTATAATATACTGTGATAAGCTATGGGTAAACTATACTATACTGTGATAAGCTATGGGTAAACTATACTATAATATACTGTGATAAGCTATGGGTAAACTATACTATAATATACTGTGATAAGCTATGGGTAAACTATACTATATTGTGATAAGCTATGGGTAAACTATACTATAATATGCTGTGATAAGCTATGGGTAAACTATACTATACTATACTGTGATAAGCTATGGGTAAACTATACTGTCCTCTACTATACTATACTGTGATAAGCTATGGGTAAACTATAGTATACTGTGATAAGCTATGTGTAAAATATACTATAGTGTGATATGCTATGGGTAAAATATACTATACTATACTATGATGTGATATGCTATGGGTAAACTATAATATACTATACTGTGATAAGTTGTAGGTAAACTATACTATACTATAATGTGATAAGCTATGGGTAAAATATACTATACTATAATATGCTATGATAAGCTATGGGTAAACAATACTTTACTATACTGTGATAACCTATGCGTAAACTATACTATACTGTGATAAGCTATGGGTAAACTATACTATACTATACTGTGATAAGATATGGTAAACTATACTATACTATACTGTGATAAACTATGGGTAAACTATACTATACTATAATTTGATAAGCTATGGTTAAACTATACTATACTATACTGTGATAAGCTATGGGTAAACTATACTATACTGTGATAAGCTATGTGTAAACTATACTATACTATACTGTGGTAAGCTATTGGTAAACTATACTATACTATAGTGTCATATGCTATGGGTAAAATATGCTATACTATAATATGCTATGATAAACAATGGGTAAACAATACTTTACTATACTGTGATAAGCTATGGGTAAACTATACTATACTGTGATAAGCTATGGGTAAACTATACTATACTATACTGTGATAAGCTATGGGTAAACTATACTATACTGTGATAAGATATGGTAAACTATACCATACTATACTGTGATAAACTATGGGTAAACTATACTATACTATACTGTGATAAGCTATGGATAAACTATACTATACTAAACTGTGATAGGCTATGGGTAAGCTATACTATACTATACTATACTATACTGTGATAAGCTATGGGTAAACTATACTATACTAAACTGTGATAAGATATGGGTAAGCTATACTATACTATACTGTGATAAGCTATGGTAAACTATACTATACTTTGATAAGCTATGGGTAAACTATACTATACTGTGATAAGCTATGGGTAAACTATACTATACTATACTGTGATAAACTATGGGTAAACTATACTATACTGTGATTGTCACGCCCTGACTCAGGGGACTCGTACATGTTGAGTCAGGGTGTGTATATTCTTTGTTGTGTATTATCTATGTGGCTTGTCTAGTATGTATAGTTCTATGTTGGCCGGTGTGGTTCCCAATCAGAGGCAGCTGTCGCTCGTTGTCTCTGATTGGGGATCATACTTAGGCAGCCGTTTGGCACTAGTGAGTTGTGGGATCTTGTTCCGTGTAAGGTATGTTGTGTGTTCTACCTTTGGACTTCACGTTTCGTTTCGCTTGTTGTTTTGTCGTTGTGTTTATAAGTTAAATAAACATGTACGCATATCACGCTGCGCCTTGGTCTGACCCGTCATTGAACGAACGTGACAGATGATCCCACCACTCGAGGACCAAGCAGCGTGCCCAGGCGGAGCGAATAGCCATGTCACAGGTGGGCAATTTATGGTCATGGGAAGAGATATTTGCGGGGAAAGGACCATGGGCTAAGGTAGATGCCCAGGCAGGAGAGGAGCAACGGCAACACAGAGGAGGCCGGTCGAGGAGGAAGCCCGAGAAGCAGCCCCAAGATAATATTTGGGGGGCACACGGGGTGGTTGGCGGAGCCTAGTGTCAGAGCAGAGCCAACTCCCCGTACTCATGAGAGGAAGCGTGTGACTGGGCAGGCTCCGTGCTATGCGGAGCTACGTACTGTGTCGCCAGTGCGCCGGCACAGTCCTGTACGTCCTGTGCTTGCACCACACACGTGCCGTGCGAAGATGGGCATCCAGCCAGGACGAGGTGTGCCGGGTCAACGCTCCTGGTCTCCAGTACGCCTCCTCGGTCCCGCATATCCTGCGCCGGTTCTACGAACTGTATCGCCAGAGCGCGTGCACAGCCCAGTGCGTCCTGTGCTGATGCCTCACACATACTGTGCGGAAGTAGGCACCCAGCCAGGACGCGTTGTGCCAGCTCTCCGCTCCAGACCTCCAGTCCGCCACCACAGTCCGGCCTGGCCTGTTCCTGCTCCTCGCACCAAGCCAGTGGTGCGTGTCACCAGTCCGGCCCGGCCTGTTCCTGCTCCTCGCACCAAAACAGTGGTGCACGTCGCCAGTCCGGCCCGGCCCGTTCCTGCTCCTCGCACCAGACCAGTGGTGCGTGTGTCCAGTCCGGCACGGCCCATGCCCGTTCTACCGGTGCCTGGTCCGGCACCGGTCAGCGGCTCCACTCCGGAGCCAGAGTAGTCCGCTCCACCGGTGCCTGATCCAGCTCCGGTCAGCTGCTCCACTCCGGAGCCAGAGTAGTCCACTCCACCGGGGTCCAGTCCAGCTCCGGTCAGCGGCTCCACTCTGGAGCCAGTGCAGTCCGCTCCACCGGTGCCTGATCCAGCTCCGGTCAGCTGCTCCACTCCGGAGCCAGAGCAGTCCGCTCCACCGGGGTCCAGTCCAGCTCCGGTCAGCGGCTCCAGTCCGGAGCCTGAGCAGCCCGTCCCACCGTCGTCTGGTCCAGCTCCGGTCAGCGGCTCCACTCCGGAGCCAGAGCAGTCCGCTCCACCGGTGCCCAGTCCAGCTCCGGTCAGCGGCTCCAGTCTGGAGCCTGAGCAGTCTGCTCCACCGGTGCACGGTCCAGCTCCGGTCAGCGGCTCCAGTCCAGACCATGACGTCAGCCCGTCTCCAGGTTCGGGGTCTCCCACACCAGGGTCCAGACAGGGCCTGGAGTATCGTGGGAGGAAGGAGAGGGGAAGCAGCGCGCCGAGGTCCAGATCAGACCAGGGGCGCAACAGGGAGGCGGAGAGTATGTGGTCGTCACGCACGGAGCCGGATCCGCCTCCGAGGCGGAATGTCCACCCGGCCCCTACACTGTTAGGTGAAGGTTGTGCGGTCGGAGTCCGCACCTTTGGGGGGGGGGGGGGGGGGGGGGGGGGGGGGGGGTACTGTCACGCCCTGACTCAGGGGACTCGTATATATTGAGTCAGGGTGTGTATATTCTTTGTTGTGTATTATCTATGTGGCTTGTCTAGTATGTATAGTTCTATGTTGGCCGGTGTGGTTCCCAATCAGAGGCAGCTGTCGCTCGTTGTCTCTGATTGGGGACCATACTTAGGCAGCCGTTTGGCACTAGTGAGTTGTGGGATCTTGTTCCGTGTAAGGTATGTTGTGTGTTCTACCTTTGGACTTCACGTTTCGTTTCGTTTGTTGTTTAGTCGTTGTGTTTATAAGTTAAATAAACATGTACGCATATCACGCTGCGCCTTGGTCTGACCCGTCATTGAACGAACGTGACAGTGATAAGCTATGGGTATACTATACTATAATATGCTATGATAAGCTATGGGTAAACAATACTTTACTATACTGTGATAAGCTATGGGTAAACTATACTATACTGTGATAAGCTATGGGTAAACTATACTATACTATGCTGTGATAGTATAGTTTACCCATTACTTATATCTCTGTATCTCTCTCTCTCTCTCTCTCTCGCCTTCCTCCCCCCCCCCCCCCCCCCCCCCCCCCCCCTCTCTCTCAATTCAATTCAATAGACTTTATTGACACGGCAAGTTAAATTACGTACATTGTCAAAGTATACATATAACAAAAAATGGTGGGACCAACAGCAATAATAATAGTAGTAGTGGAAATGGGATTACCATTAACAGCAACTACAACAACAATATTAATGAGAATAACAATACATTAAAGCAATAGTAGTAGACCAGTCTCAACATGACTGAGAAGCCACATGCCATGGTATGAAAGCCAAAACAAAACTAAGAATATCGACATTACATTGCACTTTCCACTGGCTGTCACTTAGGTTGTGGCAGGAGGACACATTTGGTTGCACATTTTGGCTTTTCACCCAATAAATATTTGATTTTATAGTTTCAAATTCTTTGTACTGAATGATCATTTTGGGCAAGAAAATATTATCTTAGGTCTGAGTATTTGTCACAGTGTAATAGGAAATGCAGCTCTGTCTCTTCCTCTCCCCTGGAGCAGAGTGTCACGAATTCAACCGAGGCTGCCCCTCCTCCTTGCTCGGGCAGGTTTCGGCGTTCGTCGTCACCGGCTTACTAGCCACTACCGCTCCATTTGTCTTGTCTTGTCTTGTCAATCACACACACCTGGTACTCATTCCCTCATTAGTCTGTGTATAAGTGTTCCCTCTGCCCCCTTGTCCTTTGTGAGTGATTGTTCGTTGTGAGAGTGAGTAGCTGGGTTGAGCTACTCTTTCCCTGTGTGCAGCCAAGGTGGATTTTCCCTTGTGCTAGTTTCCTTCTGTCGCTATATGCGCTACATTATTGTACACTGAATAAACTCTGGATTTCTGTGTTTTACCTCCTGCGCCTGACTCATTCACACCTCATCACAGAGGGAGCACAGCCTGTCCTCTCTGGGCAGCCAGGTTTGCCTGTGACGACCGGTCTCTATAATTACATTTTTACATTTTAGTCATTTAGCGGACGCTCTTATCCAGAGCGACTCACAGTTAGTGAGTGCATACATTATTTATTTTTTCATACCCCCCATGGGAATCGAACCCACAACCCTGCCGTTGCAAACGCCATGCTCTACCAACTGAGCTACATCCCTGCCGGTCATTCCCTCCCCTACCCTGGACGACAGACTATAGCCAGACTGTGCTCACTGAATCTGTACCTAGTTGTCAAGATCGTCATATAAAAAGGACCAAGGCACAGCGTTGCGAGCGAAAATATTACTATTTATTTCAACGTTCACACGAACAAAACAATAAACAACGAAACCGTGACGTCTAATGGTACAACACGAACCACACGAACAAAATCCCACAAACACAAGGTGAACACAGACAGTTTAAATATGGCTCCCAATCAGAGATAACGAGCCGACAGCTGACACTCGTTACCTCCGATTGGGAGTCATTTGACCAAATAAGGGAAACACAAAACCAAAACGAACACACCCTGGCTCAAAATACAAAGTCCCGGAGCCAGAGCGTGACAGTACCCCCCCCTAAAGGCGCGGACTGCGACCGCGCCTCAAACCCCCAAAATAGGGGAGGGCTGGGTGGGTGTTGCTCCTCGGAGGCGGCTCCGGCTCCGGGCTTGACCACCACCCTACTTCAATCCCCGCATAATGGCCCCGATCCGATCTGACCCAGCTGGCTGGATCAGGACTGACGACGCGCATCCCTGGCTTAGCGCGTGAGGCAGGAACGGACCGGACCTGGCTGACGATACGCACCCTAGGCTTGGTGCGTGGAGCCGGAACGGACCTCACCAGGCTGACGACTCGCATCCCTGGCTTGGTGCGAGTAGCAGGAATGGGCTGGACCGGGCTGACGACTCGCACCCTTGGCTTGGTGCGAGTAGCAGGAACAGGCCGGACCAGGCTGACGACTCGCCCCCTTGGCTTGGTGCGAGTAGCAGGAACGGGCTGGACCAGGCCGACGACTCGCATCCCTGGTTTGGTGCGAGTAGCAGGAACGGGCTGGACCAGGCTGACGACTCGCACCCCTGGCTTGGTGCGAGTAGCAGGAACGGGTTGAACCAGGCTGGCGACTCGCACCCCTGGTTTGGTGCGAGTAGCAGGAACAGGCCGGGTCGGGCTGGCGACGCACACCGTGGGCTTTGTGCGTGGAGCAGGAAGAAGCCGGGCTGGGCTGGCGAAGCGCACCTCAGACTCTGTGTGGAGCGCAGGAACGGGCCGGGCTGGGCTGGCGACGCGCACCACAGACTCGGTGCGGAGCGTAGGAACGGGCCGGGCTGGGCTGTCGACGCACACCGTAGGTTTGGTGCGGGGAGCAGGAATAGACCGGACCGTACTGGGGACACACACCACTGGCTCTACACCGGGATCTGGAACGGGCCGGACCGGACTGGCAACACCCGCCAGTACCTCTCGCCGTGCCTCTACACCTACCATCCCCTCTTCTACCAGTGGCCCCCGTAACCTGGCGGCCTCTTCTGCAACCCCGCTGGACCGCTCCATAGCGGCCTCCTGCTGCCCCGACGTCGTGAGCCCCCCCCTAAAAATTTTCTGGGGGTCTCTCCAGGCCTCCAACATTCTCTCCCACCTCTCGCTCCTCTGTCTCCAACCCTCCTCACTCAACTCCTCAATGGGCTTGACCCAGTCGAAGCTGCCACGGAGATCATTTGGCGATGGCCCTTGGACACGCTGCTTGGTCTGGTCTTGGTGGGATTTTCTGTCAAGATCGTCATATAAAAAGGACCAAGGCGCAGCGTTGCGAGCGAACATATTACTATTTATTTCAACGTTCACACGAACAAAACAATAAACAACGAAAACGTGACGTCTAATGGTACAACACGAACCACACGAACAAAATCCCACAAACACAAGGTGAACACAGACAGTTTAAATATGGCTCCCAATCAGAGATAACGAGCCGACAGCTGACACTCGTTACCTCCGATTGGGAGTCATTTGACCAAATAAGGGAAACACAAAACCAAAACGAACACACCCTGGCTCAAAATACAAAGTCCCGGAGCCAGAGCGTGACACTAGTCATTGTTTTCCTCAGTTTTCTATCAGTCACAGTGGTCGGATAGTCTGCCACAATTTACTGTCTGCTTAGAGCCAAATAGCATTGAAGTTTACTTTGATTTTTTGTGGTGTCTTTCCAATAGGTAATATATTTTTCTTTTTGCTTTGTGATGATTTGATTGGGCCAGATTTTCTGAGTGCTGTCCTGAGGCTCTATGAGGTTGGTTTTGGTTAGTGAACTGAGTCTCAGAACCAGCTGGCTGAGGGGACTCTTCTCTTGTTTCATCTCTTGACATTGTAGAGCTGTGTGATGGAATGTTTTGGGGTCACTTGTTTTTAGATGGTTGTAAAATTTGATGGCTCTTTTTTCTATTCGGATATGGAGGGGGTATTGGCCCATTTCTGCTCTACATGCGTTATTTTGAGTTTTTCTTTGCACTTGCAATACAGTCTTGCAAAACTCTGCATGCAGTATTTTGATTGGATGTTTGTCCCATTTAGTAAATTCATTATTAGAGAGGGGACCCCATACTTCGCTGCCATATAGAGCAATTGGTTCTATAACTGATTGGAAAATGTTTCACGCCACGTCCCTGAGAGAAGAAGTCTGTTTGCTTGTTGCCAATTTTAACCGCACATTTGTTTTTAGTGTACATTGATTTAATAACATCATATGTTTTCCCTCCAATACCACTTTCTATTAGTTTATAAAAAAGACCTTTGTGCCAAATTGAATCAAATGCTTTCTTGAAGACTACAAAACACGAGTAGATTTTGCCTTTGTTTTGGTTGACTTGTTTGTCAATTAGAGTCTGGAGGGTGAAAATGTGGTCTGTTGTACGATAATTATTTCCCAAGTTGCTATTAATGCAAATTCCTCTGTAGTTATTTGGGTCAAATTTGTCTCCATTTTTATAGATTGGTGTGATCAATCCTTGGTTCCACATATCGGGGAAAGCACTGTCACGTTCGTCGAGGAGTGAAGGAGACCAAGGCGCAGCGAGTGAAAAGAACATGTTGACTTTATTTACTTAAAGCAACCAACAACAACAAACCAAAGCGACGAATGTGAAGTCCAATAGTGACAAAGACTAAACAGGAACAAAAACCCACAACTCCCACAAGAAAACATACAGAATAAATATGGCTCCCAATCAGAGATAACGAGCCGACAGCTGACACTCGTTACCTCCGATTGGGAGTCATCGACCAAACCTAGAAATGAAACCAACAGAAAGGCAAACCTATAAATAACCCAAATGCCCAACATAACCAAACCAAAACCCAACAAAACAAAATACACCCTGGCTCAAATACAAAAGTCCCAGAGCCAGAGTGTCACAGTACCCCCCCCTAAAGGTGCGCACTCCGGGCGCACCAGCATACAGTCTAAGGGAGGGTCTGGGTGGGCGTCTGTCCACCGGTGGCGGTTCTGGCCCTGGTCGTGGTCCCCACCCCACCTTAGTCACTATCCGCTTCCGTAGCCTCCTCCACATGACCACCCCCCAACTAAACCCCACTGGATTAAGGGGCGGCACCGGACTAACGGGCAGCACCGGACTAAGGGGCAGCACCGGACTAAGGGGCAGTACCGGACTAAGGGGCAGCACCAGGATAAGGGGCAGCACCGGGCTAAGGGACAGCACCGGACTCACTGGCGGATCCTGGCTGGCTGGCTCTGGCGGGTCCTGGCTGGACGGCTCTGGCGGATCCTGGCTGGACGGCTCATGGCTGGCTGAAGGATCTGGCTGCTCATGGCTGGCTGATGGATCTGGCTGCTCATGGCTGGCTGACGGATCTGGCTGCTCATGGCTGGCCGACGGATCTGGCTGCTCATGGCTGGCCGACGGATCTGGCTGCTCATGGCTGGCTGACGGATCTGGCTGCTCATGGCTGGCCGACGGATCTGGCTGCTCATGGCTGGCCGACGGATCTGGCTGCTCATGGCTGGCTGACGGATCTGGCTGCTCATGGCTGGCTGACGGATCTGGCTGCTCATGGCTGGCTGACGGATCTGGCTGCTCATGGCTGGCTGACGGATCTGGCTGCTCATGGCTGGCGGAAGGCTCTGGCTGATCCTGTCTGGCGGAAGGCTCTGGCTGATCCTGTCTGGCGGAAGACTCTAGCGGCTCCGGTCTGGCGGACGGCTCTGAAGGCTCATGGCAGACGGGCGGCTTAAGCGCCTTTGGGCAGACGGGCAGTTCAGGCCCCGTTGGGCAGACGGCAGACTCTGGCCGTCTGAGGCGCACCGTAGGCCTGGTGCGTGGTGCCGGAACTGGAGGTACCGGGCTGAGGACACGCATCTCAGGGCTAGTGCGGGGAGAAGCAACAGGGTATGCTGGACCCTGGGAACGCACATAAAGCCTAGTGCGGAGAGCCGGAACAGGGCATGCTGGACCCTGAGGACGCACATAAGGGCTAGTGCGGAGAGCAGCAACAGGACGCACAGGACTCGGGGGACACACAGGAGGCTTGGTGCGTGGTGTAGGCACTGGTGGGAAAAGGCTGGAGACACGCACCATACAGCTAGTGCGTGGAGGAGACACAGGGCTCTGCAGACTTACAGGAAGCCTAGTGCGTGGTGTAGGCACTGGTGGTACTGGGCTGGAGCGGGGAGGTGGCGCCGGAAACACCGGACCGTGCAGGCTTACTGGCCCCCTTGAGCACTGAGCCTGCCCAACCTTACCCGGGTTGATGCTCCCCGTCGCCCGACCAGTACGGGGAGGTGGAATAACCCGCACCGGCCTATGAGGGCGAACCGGGAACACCATGCGTAAGGCTGGTGCCATGTACGCCGGACCGAGAAGACGCACTGGTGGCCTGATGCGTTGGGCCGGCTTCATGACATCCGGCTCAATGCTCAATCTAGCCCGGCCGATACGTGGAGCTGGAATGTGTCGAACCGGGCTATGCCTGCGTACAGGAGACACCATGCGCTCTACTGCGTAACACGGTGTCTGCCCGTACTCTCGCTCTCCACGGTAAGTCCAGGGAGTAGGCGCAGGTCTCCTACCTGACTTCGCCACACTCCCTTTAAGCCCCCCCCCAATAAATTTTTGGGTAGTACCCACGGGCTTCCAGCCTTGACTCCGTGCTGCCTCCTCATACCGCCTCCTCTCGGCTTTAGCTGCCTCCAGCTCTTCACGAGGGCGGCGATACTCTCCCGGTTGTGCCCAAGGACCCTTTCCATCCAGAATCTCCTCCCAAGTCCATGAATCCTTGATAGGCGTCCATAAATCCTGTTGCCGCTTGACATGCTGCTTGGTCCTTTTATGGTGGGTTTTTCTGTCACGTGGGTCGATGTCGTCTAAGTAAGACCAAGGCGCAGCGAGTGAAAAGAACATGTTGACTTTATTTACTTAAAGCAACCAACAACAACAAACCAAAGCGACGAATGTGAAGTCCAATAGTGACAAAGACTAAACAGGAACAAAAACCCACAACTCCCACAAGAAAACATACAGAATAAATATGGCTCCCAATCAGAGATAACGAGCCGACAGCTGACACTCGTTACCTCCGATTGGGAGTCATCGACCAAACCTAGAAATGAAACCAACAGAAAGGCAAACCTAGAAATAACCCAAATGCCCAACATAACCAAACCAAAACCCAACAAAACAAAATACACCCTGGCTCAAATACAAAAGTCCCAGAGCCAGAGTGTCACAAGCACCTGCAGTGAGGATAATGTTGAAGAGTTTGAATATAGTCAATTTGAATTTGCAGTCTGTATATTTGATCATTTCATTTAAAATACCATCAGCACCACAGGCCTTTTTGGGTTGGAGAGTGCATAGTTTTTCCAATAATTATTGTTCTGTAATTGGGGTATCCACAGCATTCTGATAGTCTTTGACTGCTGATTCACGGATTAGTAATTTTTCTTGTATATCTTGTTGTTCTGTATCTTTGTTATATTGCTGCAGAGGTTTGCAAAGTGATTTCTCCACATATCCCCATTTTGGATAGCCAATTCCTCATGATGAGGTTTGTTTAATTTACTACAATTCTCCCAGAAGTGGTTTGATTCTATGGATTCCTCAATTACATCCAGCAATTTCTAATGTGCTCTCCCTTTTTTGTTCTTAGATTGTGTTTGTATTGCTTCAGTGTTTCCCCATATTGAAGGCGTATATTTTTGTTGTCTGTGTTTTTGATTAGATATATTTCTCAATTACTTTCTTATATTTTTTGCAATCATTATCAAACCATTTTTCATGATCTATTATTTTTGGTTTGCTCTTATGTTTCTTTACATTAGCCAAGGAGGCTAATTTGTCAAATATAAAGTTTATGTTCCAAACAGCCTTCATTGCTGTAGGAGAATGTTAAGGCTAAAAAGTTGTCAAGGAGAGATTGTATGTTTTGGCTACTAATAGCTTTTTGGTAGATTTCTGTACTGTTTGCACTCCATCTATAGGCCTGTTTAGTACCATGTAATTTATTGGGCCATGATGCTTCATGGTTGGTTCTGCTCTTCTCATATACACTGTGATTTTACTGTGGTCTGGGAGAGGTGTTAGTGGGCTAACTGTGAAGCCTCTGAGAGACTCTAGGTTGAGGTTGGTGATGAAGTAGTCTACAGCACTGCTGCCAAGGGATGAGCTGTAGGTGTACCTACCAAAAGCGTCCCCTCTTAGCCTACCATTGACAATGTACAGACCCAGTGTTCGACAGAGCTTCAGGAGCTGTACTCCATTTTGTCATAGTTGTTTCTGGGGGGGGTATGTGGGGAGGGAAAGGTTGTTGCTTCCCGGGAGGTGTTTGTCCCCATGACAGTTAATAGTGTCTAGTTCTTCTGCTGTTCTAGCATTCAGGTCTCCACAGACCAGTACGTTGCCTTGGGCCTGAAAGTGACTAATCTCCCCATCTAGAATGAAGTAGGGTGACTCTGAGGGGGGAATGTACGTGGCACAGAGGAAGACGTTGTTATCTGTTAAGATAGCCTCCTTGTTGATTTTTAACCAGATAAAGCATTCTCCTGTTTTTATCAATTCGATTGAATTAGTTAGTTCAGATTTATACCATATTAGCATTGCCCCTGAGTCTCTGCCCTGTGTGATTCCTTTTAATTTGGTGGACGGTACGATTATCTCCCTATAACCTAGTGGACAGCCAGTGGAAACATCACCTCTGCACCATGTTTCCTGTAGTACTACTGTCACGGTTTCGGCCGAGGCTGCTCCTCCTCCTTGTTCGGGCAGGCTTCGGCGGTCGTCGTCCCCGGAGTACTAGCTGCCACCGTTCGATGTTTCATGTTTGTTTGGTTTTGTCTGTTTGTATACCTGTCCCTTGTTAGTGTTTGATTTGGTTGCCTATTTAGTTTTCGTGTGTGGGGGCAGGTGTTATGTGGTATTGTTCATTGTCAAGCTGTTGCTCTGTTGTATACTCTCGTGTTTGTTGTTTTTCCCGAGAGTCCGCACTGTGTGCGCTTTATTCATTTTTACGCACTGTGTGTGTTGTGCGTAATTTTGTACTTTGCTTCCCGGTTGGGTTGGCTGTTCGCCTGTTTGGTGCTGCTTTTTTGTTTACTAAAGTCTGTTGACGAACGCCCGTGTTTCCTGCGCTTGATTCCCTCACCGCATCCACACTCAACACCTGACAGAATACCACATCCCACATGGAGTCAGCAGGTGAGTAGGCGCCCTACTTACCCAGAGCTTTCTGTCGTTCACATAACCTTGCCTGTTTGTTTTCCACAGGTAGCACCTCGTTCCCAGCATAAGGCACTAGTCGATTCAGGCGCAGCTGGGAACTTTGTAGATCGCCAGTTCTGTGTAGAATTAGGGATTCCTCTCCTTCCCGTTGATAAGCCTTTCCCTGTACATGCCCTAGATAGCCGTCCGTTAGGATCTGGGTTGATTAGGGAGGTCACAGCGCCCCTTAAGATGGAGGCGCAGGGGGGTCATGAGGAGACGATTCAGCTCTACCTGATTGACTCTCCTGCGTATCCGGTGGTGCTGGGGCTTCCCTGGTTGATTACCCATGACCCTACTATATCGTGGCGAGAGAAAGCTCTTAAAGGGTGGTCTGCTCAGTGTGAGGGGCTGTGTCTGGGTGTTTTCATAGGGGCGACCTCGGTGGAAAGTCTGAATCTAATGCCTGCACTGCATATTCCCCCCGAGTATGAGGATTTGACACTGGTGTTTAGTAAGACTAGAGCGGCGCAGCTGCCGCCTCATAGACGGGGGGATTGTGCGATAGATCTCCAGTTAGGAGCAGCCCTCCCGCGGAGCCATGTGTATCCCTTGTCTCAAGAGGAGAGGAAGGCGATGGAAACTTACATCGCCGAGTCTCTGAGACAGGGATACATACGGGCCTCCACTTCACCCGCTTCCTCAAGCTTCTTTTTTGTGAAGAAAAAAGATGGAGGTCTGCGCCCGTGTATTGATTACCGCGGTCTCAATCAGATTACGGTGAAGTACAGCTATCCACTTCCTCTGATTGCGACTATGACGGAATCATTACACGGTGCTCAGTTCTTCACAAAATTGGATCTCAGGAGCGCATATAACTTGGTGCGCATTAGAGAGGGCGATGAATGGAAGACAGCGTTTAGCACGACCTCCGGTCATTACGAGTATCTCGTCATGCCATATGGGTTAATGAATGCTCCCTCAGTCTTCCAATCCTTCGTCGATGAGATTTTCCGGGACATGCAGGGGCAGGGAGTAGTCGTGTACATAGACAATATTCTGGTGTACAGTTCTACCCGAGCAGAGCATGTAGCCCTGGTGCGCCGAGTGTTGAGGAGGCTGTTGGAGCATGACCTATATGTCAAGGTAGAGAAATGTCTGTTCTTTCAGAAGTCGGTCTCCTTTTTGGGTTATCAGTTGTCTGCGTCAGGGGTGAAGATGGAGGTTGACCGGGTGTCAGCTGTGCGTAATTGGCAAACCCCAACCACTGTGAAAGAGGTGCAACAGTTCTTGGGTTTTGCGAATTACTACCGGAGGTTTATCCGGGGTTTTGGACAGGTGGCAGCTCCCATAACGTCTCTGTTGAAGGGGGGTCCGGTGCGCTTGCGGTGGTCAGCTGAGGCGGACAGGGCTTTTGGGAGACTGAAGGACCTGTTTACCTCGGCGCCGGTGTTGGCGCATCCGGATCCCGCTTTACCATTCCAGGTAGAGGTAGACGCGTCCGAGGCCGGTATTGGGGCCGTTCTCTCACAACGGTCTGGCACACCACCTAAACTCCGCCCCTGTGCCTTTTATTCTAAGAAGCTCAGTCCGGCGGAGCGGAATTATGACGTAGGGGACAGGGAGCTGTTAGCCGTGGTACAGGCCCTAAAGGTGTGGAGGCATTGGCTTGAGGGGGCTCAACACCCTTTCCTCATTTTGACTGACCACCGTAACCTGGAATACATCCGGGCAGCTAGGAGACTGAATCCTCGCCAGGCTCGCTGGACTATGTTTCTAGCCCGGTTTGTGTTTAAGATCACTTACATCCCTGGGTCCCAGAACGGGAAGGCAGATGCCCTGTCTCGGCGGTATGACACGGAGGAGAGGTCCGTTGAGCCCACTCCCATACTACCAAAGTCTTGTCTGGTTGCACCGGTGGTATGGGAGGTCGATGCAGAGATCGAGCGGGCGTTACGCACCGACCCAAGTCCTCCACAGTGTCCAGTGGGTCGGACGTACGTTCCGCTCGAGGTACGCGATCGCCTCATTTATTGGGCTCATACGTCCCTCTCCTCTGGACATCCAGGTATCGGCCGGACAGTTCACTGCCTGAGCACTAAGTACTGGTGGCCAACGTTAGCCAGGGATGTGAGGATTTATGTCTCCTCCTGTTCGGTGTGTGCCCAGTGTAAGGCGCCCAGACATTTGCCCAGGGGTAAGCTACAACCCCTGCCCGTTCCACAACGACCCTGGTCCCACCTCTCGGTGGATTTTGTTACCGACCTTCCCCCCTCACAGGGGAATACTACCATCCTGGTCGTTGTGGATCGGTTCTCGAAGGCCTGTCGTCTCCTTCCCATGCCGGGTCTCCCTACTGCCCTACAGACTGCTGAGGCTCTGTTCACCCATGTCTTCCGGCATTACGGGGTACCCGAGGATATAGTGTCTGATCGAGGCCCCCAGTTCACCTCCAGAGTGTGGAGAGCGTTTATGGAACGGTTGGGGGTTTCGGTGAGCCTTACCTCGGGTTACCACCCGGAGAGTAATGGGCAGGTTGAACGTGTCAACCAGGATGTGGGTAGGTTTCTGAGGTCTTATTGCCAGGGCCGGCCGGAGGAGTGGGCGAGATACGTTCCGTGGGCCGAGATGGCACAGAACTCTCTCCGCCACTCCTCCACCCAACTAACCCCTTTCCAGTGTGTGTTAGGGTACCAGCCGGTTCTGGCACCTTGGCACGAGAGCCAGATCGAGGCCCCTGCGGTGGATGAGTGGGTGCGGCGCTCGGAGGAGACATGGAACGCTGCCCACGTTCATCTGCAGTGGGCCATCCGTCGGCATAAGACGAGCGCCGATCTCCACCGCAGTGAGGGGCCTGTGTACGCACCTGGAGATCGAGTCTGGGTCTCGACCAGGAACCTGCCCCTCCGCCTGCCCTGCCGGAAGCTGGGTCGGTCGGCGGTTTGTGGGGCCATTCAAAGTCCTGAGGAGGTTGAACGAGGTGTGTTACAGGTTAGAACTGCCTATTGATTACAGGAATATTAACCCCTCGTTCCATGTGTCTCTCCTCAGGCCGGTGGTAGCTGGTCCACTCCAGGACTATGAGATAGAAGAGACTCCTCCGCCCCCGTTGGACATCGAGGGGGCTCCGGCGTACACTGTGAGGTCCATCCTTGATTCGAGACGCCGGATGGGGGGTCTCCAATATCTCGTGGAGTGGGAGGGGTACGGCCCGGAGGAGCGGTGCTGGGTGCCGAGGAGGGACATATTAGACCTGTCCCTGCTGACCGAGTTCCATCGGGGTCATCCTACGCGCCCTGCTCCGCGTCGTCCTGGTCGTCCCCGAGGCCGGGATCGGCGCACGGCTGGAGCCGCGCGTCAAGGGGGGGGGTACTGTCACGGTTTCGGCCGAGGCTGCTCCTCCTCCTTGTTCGGGCAGGCTTCGGCGGTCGTCGTCCCCGGAGTACTAGCTGTGTTTGTTTGGTTTTGTCTGTTTGTACACCTGTCCCTTGTTAGTGTTTGATTTGGTTGCCTATTTAGTTTTCGTGTGTGGGGGCAGGTGTTATGTGGTATTGTTCATTGTCAAGCTGTTGCTCTGTTGTATACTCTCGTGTTTGTTGTTTTTCCCGAGAGTCCGCACTGTGTGCGCTTTATTCATTTTTACGCACTGTGTGTGTTGTGCGTAATTTTGTACTTTGCTTCCCGGTTGGGTTGGCTGTTCGCCTGTTTGGTGCTGCTTTTTTGTTTACTAAAGTCTGTTGACGAACGCCCGTGTTTCCTGCGCTTGATTCCCTCACCGCATCCACACTCAACACCTGACAACTACAATATCAACATCATCAATTTCTTTAAGGAAGTCTGGGTTTCTGCTCTTTAGCCCAAAAGCAGAGGACTTCAAACCTTGTAAATTCCAACATGCAACGTAAAAAGACTTCATAGCTGTTTTTTTCTTAACTTCAAAATGAAATAAACACTCACAATCCAACAATAACTATTAAAATATGATTTTTTTTCTATTAACATAAACTCTTATTATGCAAATGTGATTTGTTTATCATTTAAGATAGCATTTGTGTCATGCCACTTGGGTGGATGTAGTGTGAGGATGGTGGAGTTATTGTGCTCATCTTACCATGACCCTCGGCCTATCACATGTGAGCATAGTAGATTCAGTATTTGTTTTAATGTCAGTAATTTCGTTTGGCGGGGGCTGGGCCAGTTGCTCCTCTCACAGCCTGTGCATAGCTCTGCCTGCCGGGCCGTAGCTCCTTCAGGTGTGGGTCTACGGTGGGAGGGAGGGGGGTGGTAGGCCTCGTCTGGGTGGGTCAGAAACTGGGCTGGGGTGGTCTGCGCTGGCTGTGGTGGGCATTGAGGTTGGTGGTGCTGTGGCCATGGCTGGGGGTTCCAGGGTGCTGGTCCAGGGTGTTGTCTTGTTGATCTCCGGGGGTTGGAGATTGCTCCGCTGTTCCTGGGTGGAGAGGTCAGGCTGCGATTTAAAGCGACGCCCTTGAGAGTCTTGGCAAGGATTGGGACTGGTCTCTCTGTACAGGTGAACATGGTCATAGAGACAGTCCAGATCGAGGGTGGGATGGTGGGCCAGGTGTACATTGGGTCGCCAGGTGTACATTGGGTCGCAGGGCACAGTCCCGGGAGAGGCTGGCATTTATTATTTGGATTGTGGCAGGGTGGATGTCCTTCCTCTGTAGAAGGGTTGACACCACGATCCTTGAGTTGGGGAAGATTGCAGAGGCCTTCTCAATCCCTCCCCATAGTGAAGTCACCACCCTCTCCTGCTGAGCACGCAGGTCGTTGCTTCCGGTGTGTATGATTATGTGGCTTGGCGACCCGAGCTGGGCCTTATCAAGCAGCGCCATGGCACTCTGGTACTTGGGCCATGGCACTTGGGCACCACACCTTTCTCGTTTTGTGTCCAGGGAAAAGTTTATTCTCCTGAACAAACTTCCCATTTGAGTCCATCAACAGGACAATATCAGCCAGTGTTTCTTCTGGACTGGAGGGGGTAGAGTTGGGGCTGGGGTGTGGTTGGTCTGTGCCGCTGTCAGTGGGAGGCTGTTCTGTGGGCTGGGGGGGAGGCATGCAGCCGGCAGGGCTGGGGAGGCCTGGCTGGTTGAGGTGGGCTCCTCTGCTGTGTGAGGGCAGGTCATAGAGTGGCGATCTATCTGCTCCTGCAGCCTGTCCTCTGTTCTCTTTCTCTCCTGCAGCTCCTCTCTTAGTGTGGTCAGCTCGTTATTACTGCTCTGCCTGTATTTTTGGAGCTCTCTCACCTCCTTTGTTAGATCAGCCAGCTCTCTCTTGAGTCCGTCTCTCTCTTGCTGAACTTCTTTCAGCTGTGTTGCAAGGCTGCTGTCCTGCTCTGTCCGCACCTTGGTTAGGAGCTCCTCTAAGGTGTGGATGTCTGGTTGCTGTTTGCTCACACTCTCCCTGAGCAGGACCACCTCCCCCTCCAGTTTGGTGAACTGATCCCTCATGGCAGCCATGGTGGTGAGGAGGGCCTGAGCCTGCTCTGCACTGAGGGGGTCACTCTCCTCCTGGGGCGTGTCCTCCACTATGGTGGGAAGAGAGGTGCTGGATGTGCCTTTTTGGGTGGGGATAGTGGGGGTGAGGATGGTGCTGGTGGAGTTTGTCTTGTGGGAGGGCATGTCACTAGTGGTGTCCTTCTCTCTCTCTGCTCTCTCCTTAATGGTCTGAAAGTCTGTTTCAAACAGCCTAAGGTTACCTTGCACCACGACAGTCCCAGTCTTGTAGAGGTTGATTGTTATCATGGTGCTGTCAGGGTCGTCTGTCTCTTTGACTTTCAGCTTCCACCCATTACAGATACCCTCTTTCTTTATGGATGGGTAGTGAGAGCAGACTGCTGAGCGCCATGCATTTGGCTGGTCAGTGAGAAAGATAAGATTACTCACATCACCGTTTTTGTAGAGGTCTGTGAAAAGGGTTTCTGGCCTCCCCTGTAGTAGATTCTGTTTAAAAGCTTTCCTCGTTGTGTCATTTTTGGCCTCGTGGGGGTAGAGAATGGACTCAGCGCTGAGGGGGAGTGGGGACATGGTGCCTGTGGGCTCTGCTACTGCTGCTGCTGCTGCTCTGTTCTGCTGCATCGTTGCCATGGCAACCAGTTTTGTTTATCTGCTGCTGTTGCTAGCTAGCTCCTGTTTAGCTCAAAAACCAGCAAAAATAGTGAAAATTCTTCACACACAAAAACAGAAGATATGTTTACAGTTAGAGTCAGTGCTTCTTTTTGATTTACTCACTCAGTTTGCTCGTTTGACGTAGTTGTATTAACTCCCCTTGCTAGGTTTGTTATAGCTCAATTTTCTGGCTGGCTTGTTAGCCTGCTGGCTAGGTTTTTGTTGTGTAGCTAGCTAGTGAGAGTCAAAACTTCTTAATTTGAGGCGCAAAGTTACTTTTTCTTCTATTCTGATTGAATAGAGTTGTTATTCATCACTTCTTGTCTTAAATTCTTTTTAGATTCTAGTGTTTATCTCATTCTAAAAACAACAAAAAACAGAAATAAATCAAGAGCTCATGTTGAGCATGTCTCTCTCTGTCTATCTCTCTCTCTCTCTCTGTCTCTCTCTGTCTCTCTCTCGCTCTCTCTGTGTCTCTCTCTGTCTCTCTCTCAATTCAATTTCAATTTAAGGGCTTTATTGGCATGGGAAATGTGTGTTAACATTGCCAAAGCAAGTGAAGTAGATAGTAAACAAAAGTGAAATAAACAATAAATATTAACAGTAAACATTACACTCAGAAGTTTCAAAAGAATAAAGACATTTCAAATGTCATATTATGTATATATACAGTGTTGTAACAATGTGCAAATAGTTAAAGTACAAATGGGAAAATAAATAAACATAAATATGGGTTGTATTTACAATGGTGTTTGTTCTTCACTGGTTGCCCTTTTCTTGTGGCAACAGGTCACAAATCTTGCAGCTGTGATGGCACACTGTGGTTTTTCACCCAGTAGATAAGGGAGTTTATCAAAATTGGGTTGGTTTTCGAATTCTTTGTGGATCGCTGTAATCTGAGGGAAATATGTGTCTCTAATATGGTCATACATTTGTCAGGAGGTTAGGAAGTGCAGCTCAGTTTCCATCTCATTTTGTGGGCAGTGTGCACATAGCCTGTCTTCTCTTGAGAGCCAGGTCTGCCTACGGCGGCCTTTCTCAATAGCAAGGCTATGCTCACTGAGTCTGTACATAGTCAAAGCTTTCCTTAAGTTTGGGTCAGTCACAGTGGTCAGGTATTCTGCCACTGTGTACTCTCTGTTTAGGGCCAAATACTCTCTCTCTCTGTCTCTCTCTCACTCTCTCTCTCTGTCTCTGTCTCTCTCTCTCTCTCTCTCTCTCTCTCTCTCTCTCTCTCTCTCTCTCTCTCTCTCTCTCTCTCTCTCTCTCTCTCTCTCTCTCTCTCTCTCTCTCTCTCTCTCTCTCTCTCTCTCTCTCTCTGTCTCTCTGTCTCTCTCTCCCACTCTCTCCCTCTCTCTTTCTCTCTCTCTGCCTCTCTCTGTCTCTCAATTCAATTTCAATTCAATTCAATTTAAGGGCTTTATTGGCATGGGAAACGTGTGTTAACATTGCCAAAGCAAGTGAAGTAGATAGTAAACAAAAGTGAAATAAACAATAAATATTAACAGTAAACATTACACTCACAAGTTCCAAAAGAATAAAGACATTTCAAATGTCATATTATGTATATATACAGTGTTGTAACAATGTGCAAATAGTTAAAGTACAAATGGAAAAATAAATAAACATAAATATGGGTTGTATTTACAATGGTGTTTGTTCTTCACTGGTTGCCCTTTTCTGGTGGCAACAGGTCACAAATCTTGCAGCTGTGATGGCACACTGTGGTTTTTCACCCAGTAGATAAGGGAGTTTATCAAAATTGGGTTTGTTTTCGAATTCTTTGTGGATCGCTGTAATCTGAGGGAAATATGTGTCTCTAATATGGTCATACATTTGGCAGGAGGTTAGGAAGTGCAGCTCAGTTTCCACCTCATTTTGTGGGCAGTGTGCACATAGCCTGTCTTCTCTTGAGAGCCAGGTCTGCCTACAGCGGCCTTTCTCAATAGCAAGGCTATGCTCACTGAGTCTGTACATAGTCAAAGCTTTCCTTAAGTTTGGGTCAGTCACAGTGGTCAGGTATTCTGTGTCAACGGGTGCTGAAGGTGGGTGTGGTGTATGAATCATGCGCAGGACGCAGAGGCTCAGTCCAAAGGCTTTAGTGCAATATTCATAAAAGACAAAAGCACAATAAGCCCGAAGGCGAATACACGGCGCACACAGGCGACAAAACAAACGGCGCACAAACAGGCATAAA